TAAGTTTACGGTCAGAGATTGTTTGTATACAAAAAAGTTTGTAGTATTCGTTTTTCTGTGAATCTTGCTTCATGTTCGTTAAATTAGCATATCAGGCACTTAGATCGATCTGGACAACAAATAGAAATAAACAATCGTACTGATTACTCTTAACGCCGTTTATTTATTCCTTAATACACGTAAATCGTCAGAATTATAACAATACCATATGTCGATTATTTTATTTACTATAAGTTGCATTTTATTTCTAGTATGTCTTCCCATGTTCGAGAATTTGTCAACCGATTTTTTTACCATTGACAAGTATTTAACCTTACTGCTCAAAAGTTTCTCATTTGTACTGTCCATCATTATATTATTTGCTCTCTTGAGGCTTTTTTTCAATTATACCAAAAGTTTGTCATTATCATTATCATCGTGAATAAGATTTACACTTTTTGTTGGCTAAATTCAAATCACTCACATTTGCACAGATCAGTCAAGCCATATGTCCTAATATTTAAATGGTCTACTACTACGCCAAGTGTTCGATACTCAAAGCCATGTGCGATTAAGTTACGTTACTTAATGGTCTAGATAATAAATCAAGTAATATTTAATACGCTTCCTAACAACACATCTAATACATCTAATTAGAAATAAACCCCAGAATTAACATGTTCCAGACCAACTGCGACTATACCAATGATTACAAGTCTCGCATTATATATCTTAATCAATTGTTCTTATAAATAGCGATTCGTTCAGTTATTATGACACAGAGAGTTGCCTAAATCGTTGATTTACAAGCGTAGGAAACCATATAGATTTCACTGCTAATTTTCCATTGGTTTCTCTTTTACGCCGACCATGTACGACAACCCATGCAACGTCAATAACTCCTCAATCTCAAACATCAAATGTCTGCAATCGTCGAGTACACGTAATCTTTGAGAATATTGAATCACTCCGTTTGCAAAAAAAATATTAACCAACATATTATGCACAGACGAATTTGTATAAGTATTACTTTATGATGTGATGTTATATTATTTCATAAAGACAATCTATTATTTTCCACGTGCTTCGGCGCACACCAATTGTATCTGCTTTGCGATGTAGATCTTGCCTTTTGTTTAATCCCTTTTTTCGTTTTTAAAAATGATCACCACCAAAACGGCCTTTGAATTTTAATAGTATTATACTTGTAGCTTATAGTTTATAGCTTATAGCTTACAGCGTATAGCCTATTACTTATGGCTTATATAGCTTATGCATAAGCTTACGGACAACGGCGTTTATATAACAAAAAAATTTTTGTTCAATGTAGTATTGTTTTTCCGCAGAATGTTTTTCCAGAATCTCGAATACGTCTGTTAAATCCCTATGACTTACTATATCTGGTAGATCGGCTAATCTCCCATTAGACTTAGACCAATTTGGACAACAACCCAATAAACAATCGTGTCGATCAATACGCACTTATTTATTTTTTATAAAATAACGTACATAATAGAATTATCAAATACCGGCGAGTTTCGTCGTCATAATACTATATACTATATTTCCTATCTCATCGAATAAAATTTATGTACCCTAAATAACCTACTTCCCGACCGTACAATTATTTACTTACTATAAACTGTATTTCTCATACAGTCTTTCCATGTTCAAAAATCTTAGGTTACTGTTTAAGAAAATCTAAATTTTCTTCGTTCGTACTGCATTCAATTGTTGTATTTTTTGCTTCTATCACAACTGACTGCTCTTATCATATGACCTTTTCCAACGCTTTTTGTTGGTCAAATGTAAACATACATTTTAATTTACGCGGATCAGTATTAACACTGATCTACGCCGATATTTCAACCAAATGTTTGGTATCAGAAAAAAAAAGCCCCGCCCCACCTATACGCTACCCGTTCCCGAAAAACGGAAAGCTAGATAGATTTAAATGTCTAGTGCATGTATACAACCACCAACGCCAACTGTTCCGTAAACCGTAGAAACAAATTAAACAATGCCAATTGCCTACCAGCGATACAATACTAATTGTACAATAATTATCGCATTTTTCGCCAATATAACAAAATATTTATAAATGTGACTTATAACATTGTACACAGACAAACAATCCAATCGTTATGTCATACAATATTTTCTCACTGATTATGAGAATTCATCGGAATTAAATGCATTGTCACACTTTTTCTAACCAGACCCTTTTCAACGGCCACCAACCCACCTCAAAATAATCAGCTTTTAAATTCTATCGCGTTAACTCAATTCACAGCTCTCCCAGATAATTTTTACCAACAGTGGACCATTCCCACCATTTTTGTGTGAAAACCATCTCACCGTCTTCAGAAAAATGACCACTATAATAAACTCCCTTATCTTCCTTGCGTATATTGTGGCAAACTTCTATATCCAGAAAAAGCAGCCTGGGTTGCACAGGAAGATCTATCGACGTATCGATTTCAATACAAGACATCGCTCATCCTGCCTGGTACAGATAAACTTCCGACTTGTCATTGCTGTAAACTACCATCGACAAGATTACAGTCCAGGAAGATCGACAAATGCCAACACATATACTGAATATCGTTCTATTTGTGGGCACAATGGGGGCCTTCCAAAAATTTTACCACTTTGACACTTTATTCAGGAATGCTTGGAGCATTCCTCGAAAACTTGGATAACAACAAAATAATCCATATCTCCGTAGCTATTCCGCTAAAAAAACCGATTATTCCGAATAAACAATACGTCAGCTACCAGCCACAATTGTCCACCGCCCAACAAACTATGAAGAAATTAAATCCATTTCTTCATAACGTCGATCGACCAACAGAATGTCTAACTACTTATGATGAGCCTACCAGCCATACAATATCAATTGTCCAAAAGCGTTCTCGACTGCGCCAGAATGTCTAACAAATTGTGATACGCCTACCCGCCATACAATATCCGATTGTCCCGACTGTGTTACGCCAACTATTCCGCGCCCAACAAATTATTAATGAAACCTGTTTTTCCATACGTTGATCGATCAAATGTACTGCCCGGAATGTCTAGCAACCTACCCGTTTATACAATCGTCCACAAAAATTCTCGACTGCGTTACGCCCGATATCGTCGACGCCTAAAAACTTATTAGAAATTAACTCACACTTCTTCATAAATCCAACAATTGCTTGTCCTCATGGTAAACCAGTTCGAAGATGATCCACTCATCAAAAATAAATCATTTAATAAATTGCACAAAGATTTATAATTTCGGCTTTCGAGTAAAAACCGAAGGCGCGGTAGAACTAGCTATACAACAACATACACGCTAAAATCTTCGTTATATGAACAACCTTCAAACTTTAATAATAGAGCGAATGTTTAACATAGAACGGTAAATTGTACCCACTTTACAGAATTCTACCGAATAATAATACCTCCTTTTTAGTAGCTAAGAGACATTTCTCAATAATGATTATATAATAACTATTGATTATCGTTTCTTATATGAACATTGTCTTTGCAATAAAAATATAATTTTTCATTCAGCCAATACATAATTATGTCCAAAAAAACTTAACATTGAATAACTAGAATTACCACTATGACATTAAACGTATTAGTATTATAAACTGTACATAATAATAAGTTAAAAAGGGCAAAGCGCTTAAACTCGTTGTGTCATTGCTTACTAACGTTTTAATATTTTATCATAGGTAACTTGTGTAGCAGGCTTCTACCAAACTAGTTGTTACAGAAATATCAGGCTTCTTTGCAGTCGGAAATGATGACATTTGCGTGCGTATATGCAGACTCTACAAGTAATGAGCATTTAACAGAATTTTCAGAGTTTTTACAACAACCTGTGATTATCGTTATAATGCAGCGTGAGTTTCCATATTACGAATTGTGACAAAAAAAGTTCTTTTATAACGCAATTCCATTGTAACAAGATTCATTATAACGAGCTTTGACTATCGGGTTAATATGATCAAGTACGTTAAATTGAAATTCCGATTAATAATATCACTCATCTTGCATGTCACTGGTTATGTGAACAATGGATAATGCGTTCAGTTAAGTGAATTGCTTACGATCTCCCAATTGCGTTAGGGACATCAAATACATTAGGAGGTTGAATAAAGAGAGCGAGCTGGTTGCAAAACAAAGCCGACACGCAACATAATAATAACAGAAACCATGCTGGCATTCTACTGATTTAATTTATTATCTATATATAATTTAAAAAAACTGGATGCTGCAAGGTGGACGGACATTGCATATTCGTGTTACAAAATTATCCAATAGATAACCATTACATGTTCATCATTTCTTTGTTTACAACCGCGACGCCTAACACTTTTATTATTATGATTATGGATAACGTTAGCGAAATAAAAGTATAAATGTAAAATATAAAATAACCACACTGTCAACAAAGTGACAGGTTATACACTAGTTATGATTATTATTATTATTATGTATTGCTTATACAATCGTTCTTAATATGGTCCCCGAGTAATCCGTTTCCTAACATACATCCCCTGAAATAAATATCGGAACCCCTTTCAATTTAAATTGCTCAATAATCCATATAATAATTAACCTCGATTTTTTTACAGTTTATAAAGTAGCTTTACAGGTAGCTATTACAAACTTAATATTTTGTTGGCATCCATGTATATGTATCCATAAAATATTGTACGTTTCCTTGTCTATTATACATATCATGCTACATTAAATATAAAGTAGTTGCCTTGACAACACCTATCCTGATAACAAAATCACCAAACTTCCCTCCGTTTTTCCGTATCTGGTTTGAATGGGGTTCACTTCTTCAAAATTTCACTTTCCTTCAAACTTTCTTTGTATAACTTGTTAAGTCTCTGTCCGTGATGTTGTCGTTCCAGGTACTTTGCCTACGAATGCAATCTCAGCAACATGGGCGCGCACATCCATTAGGACATCCCGTCATCCTAATAGTAATCGCATCTTTACCCAGTCCAACGTCCTCAACGATCGATCTTCTCAACAAGTGTCGGTAAATATCTCAGTTTCGGCCATAGCAAGACCACATGTTGGTAAAGCCACGCAAGACATCGAATCAATCGTATACCCGTATATTGAAGACTGTCCAGTTTATACTCCTTCAACAGACCTTCGATCTGTGGCTTGGCTACCGGCGAAATATGCCCAAAGATCTGTTTATAACGAAGATTTTCTCCAAGCCAATTATAAATAGTGACCTTCGTTATAAGAAATTTCTGGTTATAAAGAATATTTTCTCTGGTCCCGTAGAATTCGTTATAACCAGCTTTGACTGTAGATGCTGATTCGGAGTCAATCTGAAATCGCACTTGTGGACTTTTGCAATTTCACGCAAGCCTGTGTTGCACGGAGCTCCGGGCTCATCACTAACACGTCCGTTCTCGATATACTCCAGTTATCATTGGCTTCCTTGGTCCATCCGCGTTACTGTCGAAAATAAACTCTCGAGGTGGTTGCAGTTTGTAACCTAACCTATTTTCGACCTCCTCATGGAACCATTTCAAACTGTGATCATCAATTGTATACTTCAGACGTGCGTGCTTACGGTTAATCCGATCACTAAGATTACGCTGTACGAGCATGACTTTCCCTCCAACATCAATTGCTTGCTCGGGTGTGCAGAGACATAACATAATATAAATATTAATATTAAATTCTATTCTTAATTTTTTCAGTTGATTTCTTATTATTATCTTTAACAATAGCCTTTAGAATTTTTTGACTTCTGTTAGTCAATAATTTCAGGCAGCCAGATCGGGGAGGAGTAATTCTGTTAAGGTACTTATCAATAGTACGAGGGACAGTTGTTCAATGTTGTATTCGGTGAGTGTTCGATCCTCTATTAGCGGTTTGCGTAAATAAATTCTGGCCACTTCTTTATTTCACCTCTGACTTTGTCATGTTAAAACTAGCTTTAGCGAGCTTGTAGCAGGATATCGTAGATTGGAAATAAAGTCGTATGAATATCGTATATGTCAAATAAAATTATAAGGGTTGTTCAAGAAAGACTTTATGAATTCAGAGTAAATTGATGTTCGTTTATTGATAAGATAAGGAGGATATCGATGCTCAGTCTACACTATGCTGCTGCTTATATATCTTTTCGGACTACATATTGGTTTATTTTTAGCATCGCAATCTGCATTATTGTCTAATTACTAA